GAATAAAAAAGACAACTCATCAATTATCCGCCCCGCTTAGTTTGTTGTACTTCGCTCTTGCGTTGCACTGTCGTTGAGCAGATTGCTTTCCTTTCCTTTATCGTGTCTCAAGTCCAAAGACAGTCGAACCTTCCACACCTCGGCCTCTTCTATATGCTCTACTGTGTACCTCTGCAATATCAAAATAGACAGACCAAACTCTTTGCCAAACCCGCCCAGGGCGTCCGCATCATGCTTCGTTTTTCTCCAACTCACGCTCCCCTTGCAACCGCTTCAACCCCTTTGCAGCCACGGCAGCATCGGCGCCATGACCGGCTGTCCCTTCACGGACACGTGCGTTGAAATAAAGGTGAGCACGATCAATGACAGGGTCGCCACGACCGATTTCGAATCCATGCTGCTGTACCGCTGATTCGCCAACGACGCAAAGCTCAGCAGACACGTGAGCCAAGAGTAGATCCGGATCTTGAACATGATGGCCATGAAGGCGAACACCAGCGCCGACAGCGAATCTATTGATACGAGCAACGAACCACGCATTGTCGCGGCGCGGGTTACGGTGAGAAGCATGCGGGGAGAAGAAGAAATGCACGAGGTTTGACCAGTTAGAATTTCTGTCTTTCACGTGCGTCTTGCCCCAAAAGAAAGAACGCCTCCCTACGAGACATCTGACATCTGGTTGTCGCGTAGTGCGCGTGCACGCAGTCAGACGGGGAACGAGTACGTACAGAAATCGGAGGAAAGATCGTCGATGGACACTGGGGCGATTTCCATCTGTCGAATGCGCTCCTCGCTGCGCGGGTCGGTGCGAACTTTCCCCATGCTGGTATCGGCTGTCAAGAGGAGATTCGACGAAGCTTCTTATCTGCGCGCAAAGCACTGGCTCCCGAGACAATGCACCGGCTCGCCGAGAAAAACCGCTCTCACACACGTCAACAACGGCTGGTGTCAATGTCGAAAGCGGCCTCAACTCTTCTCTCGCGCGACACGTGCGACAATCGCGGGACAAAATATTCTACTGACGCTTGGTCAGAGTAAAAGATTTTGCATCCTTTTTTTTTTGGTTTGCACCTTCGCTTTGGGGCCTGCGTGTGATGGCCCACGCGCCCTGGGCGTTGCGTGTCTTCCTCTCGGTCTCGAACCGGTTCCACGTCATGAGGATAACCCATCCGTCCGTACGGGTGCGGCACTGTAAAACTAAGCGAAACGTTGAGCAAGCTCCGAACTCTGTCCGCGAGCGGGGAGATCTGAAGCTCATAGAAGGAGAAGGAGCGACAGGCGAAAGCACGGAGCCAATCCCCAATGCCCGTTTCTGCAGCTTTGGACCTCCCAACAGATCGTTTTCCAGACATGGCAACATCTCCATTCTCAGTTAGATACGTTCTTTACATTTTCACACTGCACCACGGTTCTAAGTTCCGCGTATGACAGTTTCTTCTCAGCAAAGAGGCCGAAAAAAAAGTAACATGATTCCGCTATCATCCGACGCGCGCGATTGTCCCGTAGAAAAGCCAATCCCTTCTACTTCCCTACCGATGACAGATGCATATCACCGTTGCGCACGGCATATGGTCATCCAACGACAAGAAGAACGAGAATAGTCACTGTGTTGACTAGGATAATAGGTACTGCGCCGTCGCTCGATAAAATGCGCATCAAATGCCAATATTAGTAACAGTTCGTTGGCATCGCAAGAAACCTCGCAGGGCGCTCTCACATAAAAGACACAGATGATACGCACCTCTGAGAACGCGGAATGCTTTTAACAAATTTACGATTTGCTGCTTCATCCCCCCCTCCATAGCCGCATCATGTTCAGACCATCCGACTGCGTGTCGCATCGCGCAGCGTCCGATTTCCAAGTTGAGCTGGAGTTAGTAGTCGATGAATCAGAAGCGGTGCAGTTACAGACGGTTTGATTTCAACTTACCTTGCTTCAAAAAGCGCTCTTCATGCAGCACCGCCATCGCATTCACCACCAAGAGTAGCACCTTGAAAACAATTCCCAGCCCCAGCATCTCTTCCGAATTTTCTGCGCGCAGTGGTAGCTAACGCCGGTGAGGTGATCGCTCCTGGAAATATGGCAATCGACTCGCGGAGAGCTTTGAAGAGGGAAGCTGGCAAATGTGAGGGAATCTTTGCGCAGAAGCACAAATCTGTACAGGATGGGACTTGCTGGTTGTTCGTCGAAATTTTTTTTACGAAGCTGGCTAAATATGAAATTTTTTTGACAATCATTGAACCTTCGAGAATAGGTTTGCCCCACCGCCAGCATGGCGAAACCCGAAAAAAAGGCTTCCAGAACATCCCCGACGTCATGTTTTTGTGAACACACTATAGATCGATAGATATCGCCAGAGACTTATGCTGTATTTCTTGGTGCCAGCGCGTATATACGTCGTGAGTAAGCCCTTTCGTTCCTTGCCTGGACTTTGAAGATCTGACGCCCTTTAGAAATGAGGCCCTCTGCTGCATGCATTCACAACGTAGATCTTATGTATTGGCGTGTCTTCATTATCCATATCATCACTTTCTGTTTTAAACGGCTGACCTACTCATCTTCGTCTTCTGCCTTCCTGTATTTCCTGCCTCTCTTCGGTTGGAGGTTGATCACCGGCCCTCTTCCGCCCTCCTCCTCCTCAATAAGATCAACTTCGTCCTCTTCATGACCTTCAATGTCTGCTTCAACTACCTTTCCACTCCTTCCCGTGTCTGGATTGCTCTGGTCCAATTCTTTCTCATCATGCGTCCCTGATTCTTCTTTAGCACCTTCGGAACTCTTCTTTTTAAAGGCGCTTTGTTCTTTGGCTTCATCTTCCTTTAGAACACTTGGATCGGCCGCGGGAGGGAGCAACTCTGGAGCTTTCGGGATTTTTACTTCTTCTTCAGTCCTTGAAGACGAGGGGGTAGTTGCATTTTCCGCATTTGCATGCATAATTCTCTCTTGTATCTCCGAAGCCCCACCAGCTTTCCCTTCGGTCGCCCCTCCTTCATGTCTTGTTTCCGTCTGCAAGTCTTGAACCGTAGGCACCGCTTTCGGTATCGATTCGTTTTCCATCTGAACGTCTTGAACCGTAGGCACCGCTTTCGGTATCGATTCGTTTTCCATCTGAACGTCTTGAGGCGTTCGCAATGCAGATTCATTTGACGCATTTGCCTGACCCCTTCTTAAAGATGAAAACCGGGACTCTTGCGGGTGATGGTGGAATTGGTTGGCAAATGAGAAAGGATTTATTCTGTGCTTTGCGGTAAACTTTTCTCGTAGAATCCAAGCAGATGCCGCGAGCATAAAGATGGACACAAAAGAAAATGTAGTTCTGACCATTGCCCGCTTGCGCTTAATCGCTCGATATCTGGATCTCCGCCTTGCGTCACGCTCAACTCTTCCATTGTCAGTTGCTGGGAAGAAAAACATTCCTACATATATGAGAGTTTGTTGAATGAGCCTTTCACAACATGGAAAGCAAACTGGCGACTAGTCGCACAAAGAGGAGTTCAATCTGACAAAACAACGTTGCCCGTCAACGTAGTATATCCCTTTGTTGTAGTGATCTCTTTGTTCAATCCAACAATGTTTATGGAATGGTGTCGATTGCGGAACGAAGATGGGCATAAGAACTATGATTCTTGAGGTCACCGAGAATGTGTACAGGCTTTGAGAAATGCAGAACGCTTGCTATCATATGTGTCATGTTGCAAAAGCGTAGTGATACTGGGTACTCTCTTTTAGAGAAGAGATGAAAATTTTCAAGTACCACTGCCGCTGGCATGACTCTGCATTCAGAAATATTGAAAGACTTGTTGTCAACTTTACATAAACAATCTTTGGTGTATGCAGGAGTTGATAGTGTACATTTTGAGAGCAATTCGAGGCTGCTCAAATGCAAATACAAACTGCATACAAAGGCGAGATAAGAATTCAATGTGCAAGACATGTTGTGAAGAAGATGAATTTTATTTCCTTTTCCCAGACAGCAATCATTGCTGGGATGAGCATGTATGAAGTAGCACGTTGATATCGCCTTTCGACAGGGCAGCGTAAAGGGTGTTCAGAAAAGGTATTTGACGGGGGCAAATCGCGGTATTCTTCTTGACGCGGAGGCCAGTTCCGGCACGGGCTGCGCTGTTCACAGCAGGGTGATGACGCACGGAATTCTAGAATTGGAAGTCGCTATTTTTCCAAGAAACGTATTGCAGGCACGCTACGTTTGTTGAATATCTGTTTAATATGTGTCGGGCAGTTGCACACGACACGGGTTTTTCGGTGAGAATCATGAAAACTGTGGTACTCATGAATGGGATGAAAATTGGGTATGAAATATGCCATCATCTAAACGACAGAATGCAGCCTCACATGACTGAGCAGACGATGAGTATTTGGGAAAGTGTGAGTAAACTAGAATGTCAACGCCATGGCAGCAACCAAACTTCCCGTTTAGCGATGCCATCATGCGATGCAGCACGCGCAGGCTCGTGAGAACCCCCCCCCCCCCCCCCCCCTCCTCCTCTCTCTCTCCCTCCTTTTTTCTCTCAGACCTTTTTGTTGTTGCACCTCGGCAAGGAAAATAACGAGTTTCTCTTGTCTTGTGTTGTATAGGGGAATGTGGTAATGCATTGCATTAAGATATTAACTTGGAATGGGTAAAATGAGGTGTAGAAGAGAGAAAAATTGAGGGGTTTAACAGATGAAAGACTAGGGACATTTTTGTCTACGCGCGTGATATTGAATCCACACCAAGAAGAATAGTACAAACATCCGTAGTGCAGTATAGGCGTGGAATGCAGCAGGAATCGAGGTTTGTTCGTTTGAGGTGGTTGGAACAGTGTTGTAAAGAGCGGTATCCACGCACATGGCGGTGATAGTGAAGGGTGTTTCAGCGGGGATGAGTGGGTGAGGCGGGGGAGGTTTTGCAGAGACTGGTTGAGCAGAGACTGGTTGAGCAGAGACTGGTTGAGTTGGGTTTCGTAGAGGAAGAGACAAGTGGTTTTGAAATTGCAGTGGGTTTCGAGTGCGGGCATCATTAAATAGATGGGATTGGACGGTTTCCAGATTGTGAGAGTGGTTGAATAAATATGAGAAGGTATGTTGCTACGGTACATTAGATGGGTTGTATTTTGAAGGAGCGTTAGGGACGGAAGTGTCTCGTGCGAAGACGAGTCGTGCGCAAGACGGGGATGGGTGTGGCCCTCAAACAAAGAGCGTTCCTTGGTGTTTCGTGGAGTGGAGTCGGGGGGGGGAGGTCTCGGGGAGGTCTCGGGGAAGATTGATGTGTCTGATTTACAGTCCTGAGACGTAAGCAGCGAATAAGAAAGGGTTTTGGGCGGAAGCGAGGCCGTGGAAGACGTGACGCGTTCCACCGCAGGGTCACGCTCTGTGCGGCTTTGCGCGTTTTTTTTAGGGGAAAACACAAGCGCAGGAGATAGGACAACCTGCGCCCCCAATTCTCCCCTCAATTCTCCCCCTGAATCTGCTTGGCCATCTCGCGATCCTCAACCACCCCCCGCGAGAACGCGTTCCCGAGAACGACGCACGCCTCGCCTATGTACACGCACCACTGTAAATTTACACAAGTACGCCCAGGTACACCCAGGAACACCCATCTGTAATTTTGCCCTTCGCTGTATTCCCTTTCCAAAAATAACGCCACCCCAACATCTCTCAATAACATTCCTGAAAATAATGCTTCCATTCGCCGCCTCCATTCACCGCTACTTTCTCTTCAATTCTTCCCCTATCATACCTCTCTCCCCCCCACAATTGATGGTCTCGAATTTCCCCATATTGCACCATCACCACCACCGCGCTTATTCTTTATTATTATTATTCACGCCACCCGCCGCCCGTAAAAAAGTACGGACATCCGTTCTACTGTACAGTACTCTTACTGTATTTCCAATGCAGCACGTTATTCAAAAATCCATAATTCACACCCACACCACAGCTGCACCCATCTATTTTGCACCCATCTATTTTGCACCCATCATCTTCTGCCAAGTCCCTACAAATCCCCGTACAAATCAACCGTCAACAAGGGATCACCGCTGCATCATCCCCGGATCACACTTTGCATCAAAAATTTTGATGATTTAATTATCCCTCACCACTTCTTTTACAGAATTTCGTGTCCGCGTGTCTACAGTACAGTACTGTACCCAACGGTACAGTACCACAACAATTTCGTGTCCTCTCGATTCGGAGAGTAACTTTAGAATCACAGCAAGTCTCTAAGCGCGACCGACCATCAACTTGCACGTCAGGTCTTCGACCGTTTGCGACCTATGCGCATGAAGCGGCAATAAACTATATGCGTGCGTCGGGGAAAGAAGGAGCTCGTTGCCATGCCCAAAAATGCCATTTCGAACCAAATATCTCGACGCAAAGTCCTCTAGACAGCCCAAAGCGAACCATAACAACCCTACTTCGAACAAGCAAAAATCCCATCTGGACGCCCGCGCTGCCCACATCACAACAACCCACCTGCGCGTAACAGATGAGCAAGGAACCGGAACGGACCGCGGGGACGCCGCCACGGCGTGCTGGAACTCCATTCCCTACCGCCCTGCGCGAGACGCGGGCCTGAGATCCGCGCGAGACCCGCGCGGCGGCGACGGGCCGCGCTCCTGTCCGCCGCCGTTGTTGCCACGAAGGAGCGGC